CGGTTTGTGACACATTTTCAAACCAAACCAAGCCACTTAAAACGGCATGGAATTTTTCCATACCTCTTCAATTTTTAAATCAGACCACTTTTTCGATTTGATTCGTTTTAAAACCAACAAAGAAAAAATATCATATGTCGAATAAGTTCAATCATAATTAGCCCATGTTTGACTCCTTTTAAAATAAAAAATTCATTTTTCACACTTATTTTCAACAAACATTCACACAATAAAATATTTTGCACGTAACTAAAAAATCACTATTTAAAACATTATTTTTACACAATAATGAACATCAAGCAGGTGCTTATTAGGGACTTGTTTGGTAATACTAAAAATCCAATTAAAATTGAAAATATAGCCGTTCTTGGGTCCCACCCGTCTAATAAAAGTCAACAATAACGACTAGTTTTTCAATTTTAATCCGATTTTAATATCTACCAAACACACTCTAGCTTAAAATTTTACGTTAAAATATAAATAGTATCATTAAAAATATTACAAACCAAATTTCTATAATTATAGTGCAACAACAAAATAGAAATATTTTAAAATTTTAGTCGAAACTAATGGACACAACATCTGCAATTGTAACACAATTCATTCTCGCTATAAAGATAATATAGTAAATGAATTCATTAATTATAATTAAATGCTGTGAAACAATTAATAAAAGAAAATGAATAAAAAGATCAGGTAAGATAATACTTTCAATAACATTTTGTAAATCATCAAATACTTTTACCTCATCCAAATATTGACGAATCGCTATAAATTTTTTGTTACTATGCAACCAATTTTTATGGCATATCATCGCCTCAATCATATTTGTACTTAATGAACTCCTAAAATAAATTAAATAATTAAGAATTCGACACTATTAGGAAATGCAAACTTAGAAATAATTGTTCATATTTGAATAGTTAACACCTCTTTAGAAATTTTGAGGGACAATTTTATACTTATTTAAATTCAATTTCCACCAAAATAATTGTCGAAAAGCTCGTTGGTTAAATCTTCAAAACAACCATTTAAGTAACCCACCAAATCACTCTAGCAATTAAAAGTAAAATCTGGAATTGAGTTAAAATATAAATAATTCATTGAGTGACTTAACCAGGAAATTAGATGCAAATAAATAAAAATGGTTGTCCACCAAAAAAATTAAGGAGCCCGAAGCAAATTAGAACAAAACAA